CCTCCAGAGGCCCCATTACTCTTGCCCATAGATCTGGCAAGAGTATCTTAAGAGTGGAACTTGGCAGTTGGGAAATATTCGACAATCGCAAGTAAGACACGCGGGAGTACGGGCTGTGCCATGAAAGGGCCTGGAACGCCAGGCTTATGGGTTCTCATAGCTTGGTGGGTGATGGGCGTCACTGGTGGGAGGCTGGAGGGAAGAAGCCACCGAACGGTCTTGGTGTCTCCCAGGGTAGAGGGTGAGCAGGTTCAGCGGTTTCCCTGGCTTCCTTGGGGCTTCTCGGCCACTGGAAAACCCCACCAGATCATCACTGACGCTGTGTCAGGAGCACGGTGAGGGCGGAGGCAGAGAGGCAGGAGGTTTCCATCCTGGCTTCCCACCTGCTTCCCTGATGCCCCAGGTCCCTGTTGCAGGCGCTAACGGATCGACTGGCGGCTCCGCCCCCCTGAGCCGGGGGCTTCGGCCTCAGCGCAGTCCTTGCCTAGGACAGCGACTCCCAGCTCCCAGGCCCGGTCCGGCGGTGAGGCCGCGAGTCCGCGGGGTCCCAGGGCCCAGCCTTTCGCTCTGCTGCCCCATCGCCCGCCAGACTGAGTCCCAAGAGGCCACGCCCCCCGCTCGGCCCTCAGCCAATCAGACAACGAGGCGGGGAGAAAGGCGTCTCCAGCAAAACCAACCAATCATGGCTGACGTTTGTTCCCGGTGCGGCCCTCCCCCTGCCACACCCCAAACCGCATGGTTGCCCCGGCAACTGCTCCAGGTTCCAGGGTTTGAAACGTTCCCTCTTACCTTCCGCATGGCGTTCGTTACCGAAGGAAGCAAAGACCAAAGGGCTGGACTCCGTGACCTCAGTCGTCACAGCCCGCCCCGCTCCGTCCCGCCACTGAATTCCTGGGTCTATCACTGAGATGCCGAGCCTCCTGCAGTCCTAGAGAGGACATGGCTCAGGGCCAGGACCACTTCCGGCTTTGGGCGGCCACTTCCGTCCCCGATGACTGCCCGCCAATTAGCTGCACTGGTTCCTGCACCAGGGCTGAGTGGCTTCGCAGCGCTTGCTGCGGCGCTGGAGCATCTTCCGAGCTCCCAAGCAGTGGCTGACTGTGCTGCCAGCTATCGTGCGGCCACGGCCGGCGGAGAGTGCTGGGGAGCAGAGGAAACGCGCGGGCAGTGCAAGGCCGCTCGCGGCTCTAGGATGCCTGAGGGGCAGAGGGCGGCAAACGTTAGGGCTGGCTGGGCGCGGTGGCTCACGCCTGTAATTCCAGCACTTTGGGAGACCGAGGCGGGTGGATCACGAGGTTGAGTTCGAGACCAACCAAGCTAACATGGTGAAACCCTGTCTCTACTAAGAATACAAAAATTAGCCGGCCGTGGTGGCGCGCGTCTGTAATCCCAGCTACGCGGGAGGCTGAGGCAGGAGAATCGCTTGAACGTGGGAGGCAGAGATCGCAGTGAGCCGAGTTCGCGCCACCGCACTCCAGGCTGGGCAGCAGAGCAAGACTCTGTCTCGAAAAACAAGACGGCCGGGCGCGGTGGCTCATGCCTGTAATCCTAGCACTTTGGGAGGGCGGGGAGGGTGGATCACCTGAGGTCAGGAGTTTAAGACCAGCCTGGCCATCATGGTGAAACCCCATCTTTAAA